ACGTCGCCTGGTCTCGCGCGGCCGCAGGCGCAGGCGGGAGGCTCCACGTGTCCCGGGCGGAGGCGACATCTCGGGCCTTAGCCGTGGTCCCCACCCCCCATGCGCGAGTCCAGGGAGCGGTTGTGGGAGGGAGGGAGCGGGGGAGCGGAGCTCGAGGCCTGCCCTCTGTTCTCCAGCCGCAGTCGCACGTGGAGCTGCTCCCTGCAGGGTAGGTGACACAGGCGGCACAGGTGGGTGGGGGTGTTAGTGGCAACTGCTGACTGAAAGTCTTTGTTTGTTGCATGCTGGTTATTTCGGGGTGTGTTTTGGGCTGGGAGCCCCTGCCAGACTCTACATCCCAAAGCCCTTTAGAAGCCGCTGAAGGTTGAAACATGGACTGTGGGCGTTTGATGCTAGTTGTTCATTGCAGTTGTGCTAACCTGTTCATGAGATGCCACCCTCATACCTGTTGTCGTTTTCCCCCCTCTGTGCAGAAAACAGCTACGGCTGTTGCCCATTGTAAAAGAGGAAATGGCCTCATCAAAGTGAATGGAAGACCGCTGGAAATGATTGAGCCCAGAACGCTGCAGTACAAAGTAAGTGAGCCCATGTTCCCGCAGAGTGACACAGCTCATCTGACGTGTCTGAGAGCAAGAGGTTGTTTTTCCAGGGGACAGATGCATGCAGCCTCAGACAGCTTGGAAATGTGTCTTGGAGTTTAAATCTTGACGTTGGGAAATTTGTAATAAACCAAACCCTAGTAGGAAGTGTTTCACTTGGAGGTATTTATGCTGTTTTAGAGTTTGCACTCTTAACACAGATTTTTTGGCAATATTTCTTTATTTAAAATGGTTATAAATTAATTAGGCTTCTTGAACCTGGGTCTCCTGCTTGGCAGAATGAGGAAGAAATGTAGACATAGGGTTAAATTTTTGAAAGAGATTTAAGCTTCTAGGTTGCTTTGGTGCTTTTCAAAATTTTTCTCGGATATATTTTTTTAGAAATTTAATAATTCTTAGTGCTGATAGGAGCTAAGAATACATTTAAATAACTGTTAAATTGCTTTAGATCTGATTTACCAAAATTTTAAACTAGTTCTTTTAAATGCTTAATATCAGCAACTGTCAGTACTTTTGGAAAGGAGGTTTTGCCATTTAAAAAATGGTGATATAGATGCAAAGGGACTTGAAACAGCTACTAGCACAAGGTCATCTGGTAATCTGGTAGCAAATTCGGTAATGGGATTCATGCTTAATCTGAAGTCTACTATTCAGTCCACTGAGTTTTTTTACTCCTCACTG